TATATATATATATATATATATATATATATATATATATATATATATAATACTATATATATATATATATATATATATATATATATATATATATATATATATATATACATATATATATACATATACATATATATAATAGCAAGTCATTCCCCAACTAGAAACAAACCTATCCATCATGAAAGGAGTTATCTTTAATAGCACAACATTTCAAGAATATAGAGATCAAAATAATTTATAATGAATATACAGAGTTCATTCTTTTAATATCAATTAATCATAATTCTTTAGTACTTCCCATATTTGTTTCACATGAATACAACTTTTCTGGTTGATCAGTTCAGTCAATTCAATTGCAAACATCATTAACAACTCATGTATATATGACTAATATTAATAAGACCATCTACAACCTAAGGCGTCTTGTAACAAAATGAACAACAGAAATGTCAACAAACCTGCATGCTTTGTCCCCATATTTGCTGTAGGCTATCAGCAGGGCAACAGGTAAACCTTCATTAAGTGCATCATCAATAAAACTACCAGTCACAATATAAAATGATCAACTAAATATCCAATAATTAGAATGAAAATTGCACTAAGAAAAAATAAAAAAGCAACAAATACTATAAATATATGACCATAAGAGCAATCTCAATCCTTGAGGTGTGAAATCAAAGGAAGCAAGATTTTGATTGGCATACAAGTAGTTAAACATGAGTAATACCATCTAAATTGCTTAAAAAAAGAAAAACAAGTTGCCAAAGCACTTTCTACTTTGTCACAGATGCATGGCTCAAATGTCTTCCGGATGCTTTGCTATGGGCATCTAAGCTGGGCTTAATCAGTATACAAAATCAATGTTAGGAGATTTGCATGTGTTTCTAATGTCTGCAAATGTCAAATTTCTTTCCCTTAAAATGTAAGCGTAAGAAACATTTTAATAATTAAAACTGAAAATAAGAAATCTCCTCTTTTTTTGTGTAACAGCAAAAGGTTACCATATTCTTGGGTAGCCATTACACCCAAGTCACTGGTTTTTAAGAAGCTTTTTATCCTATAAGCCATACACATATATCTTGAAGATTCTCAAGGAAAAGTGCTAGGACCATTAAGCTCACAATCCATAATCTCAAGTAAAAATAGCAGGTGGATAAGTGTTACAAAATAGCACAAAGTAACTAATGGTGTACAATACGTTACCTTGCATTTCCATAAAAAAAACAAAACAAAGATCTTTAGTGGCAATCCTAAAATTCATAGGGATCCATAGAACATCCTGTGATTGTTCACTTTTCACGTACTTCATAAATTCTGGTGTCCAGCCTTCCAATGACCATTAAGTTTGAAAGGATCTTAGCATTAAATTTAATTATGACAAAAGGAATTAAATCATTAAAGTAGAAAAAAGCTAAAATTTTCTCATTCATGATTCAACCTTTATCTACCTCAATTAACTTCTACAATCACCATCGTATATGGTCATATCAGCTTGTATCAATCAGTACTTATGAGTATATACCCCTACTGAAACCAAGATATATGGTCTCATATGGTCCTTAACCAGAAGGGAAAATACTGATAATTAAGTACAGATCTAGTCAGTATTTAAAACGTAGCTCAAAACTATATTGAAGATTCAGAAAAGCCTACAGAAAAACACCACAGCTACCGGTTTGAAGAAAAACTGAATCCAACACTGATGCCACAAAATCATGTAAGTACACAGCGTGAACAATTGCTCTGATAAAAATATCATGACACATTCTTGAAGGTAATAGGCAGATAAAAATACATTAAACTTACTTCTCAACCCCAGGTCGCAAAGTTAAGCTGCTTGAGGTAGAAAAATCTTCCAAAGCTTTTTGCTGCAAAGATTATGCACATAGTTCTCTATTGAAGGCCAAAAGGACAATCATATAAATCTAGATGCAAACTACTGCAAGCAAAGACTATTAGCTATGGTAAGGTTTATTCAAAAGTTCAACAAGTTGACTCAAATATCAACTAGGAAAAAAAAATCTACAATAAGGAAAGGAAAACTCAGGTTAAATTTCCATCTCTGGGAAAAAACCATCTGCAGCATCTGATATTGAACTACATATCAAAATTTACTCCACAAGAGAGAGTTTTCCAGTTGGCACCCTAAATGGCTTAGAGGATAAACTTTCAGTCTCTCTCAGAACATTATACACTGTCACTTCAGACTAATGATATGCACATGCTCATTCTCTAAACCAAAGCAGTTCCCAGAATGGCTGCATGTTTGAAACATCCATGAAAAAAAAAAGTGCTGGGGCAAGTAACTACCTTTTCACGTAAAACTCTTTTCATGAATGCTTCTTTCTCATTTGTAGGCAATGAAGCAGGCCAGCCAATCTACACAAAATTACAGGAAAGGCTCAAGGTACAAGAACCATTAACAATACAAGCAAATGAACTCAGATTTTATCTTGTCAAATTACTCCAACTGGTTAACTCATGTTTCACATGACACATTCTACACTAAGAAAAGAAATGAACAACATTAACAATAATAAGTTTGTAAAATCTCAACTATTTGCGTCGGTTGCATGGATCTTTTGCCATCGTTGAAACCTTAATTTGATATTTCATAATTAATTCTTTGAAAAAAGACAAAAGACTTAATTTGATATTTGGAAGGGTCAGTATACAGACCTTCCACATTTAACAACATTTCAACTCTCTACATGGACTTAATCTCATTTTAACACTGCCGCTTTTGCAACAATCCAAAATAGACAATGCAATCCAGAAGTGCCTCTCTTAACTTTAAAACATCAACTATATAACTGAAATAGAAGCCTGAAAATGAAACCTTCATACTAAAAAGAAAAATATCCGAGCATAGCAGGAGGCCATTTAGTATCAAGTTCCCTTCTGCCTCTCTACTTATGCGCATTAGCAGTATGAAGCTATTAAATAAATCACAAAATCAATTTAGTAAAAAGAGTACCCTGTTGAAAAATAAGATCAACATCCGTTCTTCATCACCAGCAGCCTTCCTGAAACAATGATATGTTATCTTCATGCCATTGAAAAACACTGAGTCATACATCAATGGGCAAATTTTCATCAACATCTGGTACTTACAACAGAAAATATATATTAAAAAATCCAAGAAAGAAAAATTAATCTGATACAGTGTTTAAATAAACCATTTCACAAAATACTAGAAGAAGAAACAACAGAAAGTATATAAGAAAATTATCACATTAAAGGTTCCATCTTGATCAATTTAAAAGCATGCTCCAATTTGTTTCACGCACCTACTCAGATCAGCATATATCGGTTCTGTCCAATTAGCACAATCCAGCCCAAGTTTCTGAAATGCTGATTGTAGTTAAACCAAAAAAAAAAAACAGGTACATGTTAATAACTTCAGTGGATCTCAGCATTATTACATTCTAGAATGGTTATTTATAAAAAAGAATGTATTCAGAGGGTTACTTTTCAAGAAGGAAAATGCATAGACCAATAGATACACCAGGAGACCAAAAGTCTAAAAAAAAAATGGTAAAGAACAGCAGAAATGAAAATGTTTACAGGTACACATCGTAATAATTCAGAAGCCGCACCTACATTAAACGCTTGACGATTTCCTAAACGATATATGTCTGCAATAACCCTGGTAGAAGAAATATGTCAAACAAATTCAGTATTAATAACAATGTACCTAAGCAAAATATATGGATTTCTATTTGAGTAGATTTCTATTTTAGTATCATATATTTCTTTAATTTAAAAGAACCATAACATGCCACCAAAAACCATGACAAGCAAAATCCCCTTCAGCTCAAGGAAGTTGATATCAATGATAAGATTTAGATTATATAAACCTTCTTCTATCAGCTACCTTCTTCTACCTTCCCACAAAACTAATATCAGCGTGCCACCAGGAACTATCACCAAGAAATTTCTATACTGGTATCTGACAACCAAGAATCATCATTACGATTTATTTTTTTCCTAAAATAAATCAAAGTCCCAGAATTCAAACTAAAAAAGAAATGGGACATAATTCGAAAGCATCTCAACTCCTCAATCCCTGCCGTAAAGAAAGACATGTAAATACCATGACATCATTCGATTAAATTAGAAACCACGCAAAAGCGAAGAGCAGAGGTAAACCCTAACCCTTCGACTTCAAGAAGAAGAGCGAGGTCCTGCGCTGGCTTCGAATCTTGGAGATCGGACGAGGAGAAGCGACGGGAAGACGAAAATCGGGGCGATTTGGCGTTCTTGCAGGTGGGAAAACCGACGGAGCCCCTGCAGAAGCCGGCAACGCAGGGAAGCGGAGGCGGCGGAGAAGGAGACGGGTTCTTGGGGACATCGTGCCAGGCGACGGGCGAGGCGGGGAGGGAACCGCTAAGAACGAGGCATCGGGCGACGGCGGCCGCGGCCATCGGCCGCGGTGGGAAGGGGGGATCGCAGGAGAAAGGAAGGGGGAAGGAGAGACGCAGATTGATCCGTGAAGCAGCGACGGCGTCTCTCATCCCCCCCTTTCATACGCGCCTCATATCGAACGCTGAGAACACACCCGACTTAATCACCGCCACGAGTACGTGGCGAACATCCAAGGTTGGAAATGGTGGTCTTGATGATGCTCGCCAACACCGTCTGATGACGGTGGAGAAGTTTGAAAAGACGTATTTCTCCGCTGCTCCCTATTTAGAAGTTTGAAAAGATCGTTCCATGAGTTGTTGGAAAAAGAAAAGGGTAATATTGGTAATTTATAAATGATAAAGAATAAATTATATTTTATTATTTATTTAGGAGTTTGTCAAAGGGGTTATCAATAGAAAAAGGAAAAGGGGGACTGCTAATAGTATTTCTCGGAAAAATATAAAAGAATTTTTTTGGAGTGGCGAGAATAATGTATATCATCAATACTTAAATCCAATAGCGTGTTTGACACTTCAAGATTACAATTGGTGGATCACATGACAGCAAAACTACGTAGAACGAGAAAAGTATGATGAGAAACATCTCTTACTGACGAAGAACAAAAGGAACATTAATTATATAAAAGGAGAGTGAAGAAAGGTTAAACTGCATTTCTATACCAACAGTATTGTATCTTTCACTCGTTCAGGTTTAGCAAACTGATTGAGTATTGTTTTGCAGGTATCATCAGATCAATCGTCCCAATAAAACAAGGAGCTCCGTATGCTATTCCCCAGTCTTGGGTAAGATCACAAGGAATCATCATCCATTCACTCTCTGTGTTCCTTGTTTCGATGATCTCTGGTCTTCACTTCAAGTGTATCTACAACAAGAGGCCATGTCTTGGTCTGTCATGGACTCCATGATCCTCCCAAGCTCATCCCAGTTGCCGTCTCCGAAGATGTCATTCACGTTAGGACTCGACGCTACGTCGGAGCGCAACGCGGCCATGGGAGCTTGTGCTATCGAGTTCCATTGGCTTCCATACATTTGCTCCCGCTCAGCGTAGCAGTTGCTAACGTACATCACTCCTCCCTGAAGGTAGCTTGAGGCGGCGAAGAACATGGTCTCGTTTCCACTGTCGGATTCGAAGCTGCTAGTTTTCGAACTCGAATCAGCTTGGGTTTTGGTGTTATTTGATTCTTTCCACTTTGGTGGGCTTTTTCTGTGACAGACGCCATTTCTTTTCAAGATTCGACATATCGTCCATACTTCCTGTTACGAATTCGCATTATTGTTTTCAGGATGCAATCTACTGCATGCAGCACTGAGGGAGGGAGAGAGAGAGAGGAGTCTCACCGCTTCTTGCATGCTGAGACTGGTGTTGCTGGTGTTCTTGGAAGGAAGGCGGAACTCGTGCATCATCCATTCGGTCTTGGTGCCCTTGCCTGCGCTTCCTTTGTAGTAGACGAGGGACTTCTTGAGGCCGATGCAGTCGCCGGTATCGGAACAGACCGGCCGGTCGATACCGGTGGCCTTCCAGAATCCGGATCTGGTGACCCTGTTAGGCCTTATGCTGTTCCTGTACTTCCGACCCCTCAAGCAAAAGAAGTACCTTTCCTTCTCTCCAGCAGATATGACCTCTGCAAGTTAACAACAACAAGCATTATGATCAGCAACTTACTTGCTTCAACTCTAAAAGCGAATGCTTTTGTGTTTCTTATGATACATGAGCTTAATTAGTTTCAGGAAAATTCACAAAGCCAAGTCAAACATCTCTTCCTCCTCTCTCTTCCAATAGGAATGACATAACACAATCGACACCATTCGATTTATGAGTTGTTTGGATTGGTATAGTTGTTTTGAGAAGGGAAAATGAATAAGGTAGAGATCAAGCAAGGGAAGCAAACTTACTTGGAAGATCCCATGGATCATGTTTGTAGATGTCTATCTCTTTGATGATCTCTATGCTGAAACCCTTCTTCTCCACCTTCCTCCGCAGATAGAACCCCACAAGCTCTTCATCCGTGGGATGAAACCGGAATCCCGGAAGCACCACATCCTCCTCCTCCTCCTCTACTGCCACCTGCTGCTCTCCACTCGTCTCCCTCCTCTCCTCCATGATCACACTTACGTCTTCTTCCCTCCTCTCCCCCTTATCCGAACGTTTTAGGTGCGTACAAGGGAAGATTTTCTCTCAATTTGCCTGTAAATGTGAAGTTATATGCAAGTGAGAGGGAACTCTTTGACAGATGAATGCGGTCGTAGTTAACCTCGGTCAAGCATCACCTTTGATCTCTCTCTCTCTCTCTATCTCTATCTGTCTATCTATCTACATTCATTCCTTCCTCCTGACTTCTTCCTAGCACATTAATTGCAACGTCACAAACGTCCAATAAATCGTCTCGCTCGTCAATATAGATTGCGTGGTCTTTGACAAGATGATAGGATTGCAGCCGTGAGATCTGCATGCAGTGGAAGTTTAAGCTATCCGCAACATGATCTGCAAGTCTTCTCACCGTCGTTCTTTTAGCAGCAGATAAAGAACATTATATTTTGTGTAGTTTCCTTCCAGCAGCCACGCGAAATTAGAATCATACAAAAAAAGTCGGAGAAGTTTCAATCCATGCTTTCCTCGAAGTCTGCTTGGAATCTTGTTTCCCCTTCCCATTACACAGGTTTATGAAGACGAGAGATGCTCTTATTGCATCAGCAAGATTAGAATTACCTTCAACAAAATGACGTGCAGAACGGGACGGCTAATGGCAAATCAACAGATCGATGTGCGTCGTCTGTTCTTTGTATGACTTCTGCAAAGGTGAGGATGACATGAATGATCGACATGTGCTCAAGACTTTCTTGTGGACAAAGACAAAAGACATTAATTCTCTGACTCAAAATCATCATATACTTTGTATCATCTTTTTTTCACTCTAATCTAACTACCAACATCCAAAAAGAAAGTACAAAAAAGAGAAAATTAGATGCATAATCATACTGGAAAGACATAAATATCATAGGTTTTTACATAGATAAATCATGTCTGAGGTTGGAATAGCCTTTTAATATGACCACCAATCTCCATCAGTAGCATCATTTTTGCTGACAAGTTCTTCCACATATTCTGGTCTAAATTATCACTAACACAAAAATCAAACACCAATGAAAACGTAAGAGTTTCCACATCAATTCTACTCTGAATTTTCACTGCTCACCTCAAAAATGTAAATTGCTAATTAGTCGCTGATGGAATCGATGTTGAGCGAGAAGGTGACACTTTGAAGTCACAGGTGATACTGGCGTACTGCCAAAGTTGTAGTCGGTGTCATTGGAATATTGGTTGAAACTGGGGAGATTGGATTTCTTTTGTTGTTTTTGATATGCATGGCTGTTGTTTGTGATCTATTCTCTGTTTATTTTGGCTCTTTTCATCACATTCAACTCTGTGGAATCAAACTCATGAGGTCTTAGCTTCTAATTTTCTGCAAAATGAAAGAAAAAGACACAAAGAAGTGATGTCATTTTGACAGTAGCAGCCCTCGTGATGAAGGAAATTTAATTTCCTTCCTGCACTTTGACTTCCCTTCAACTTCAAACCTGTCTATCAAAAATATAGATGCAATGAATGGCATGGCAGGATGTTTGTTTTACAACCATACACATATTGGTTGATTATATTCGTAAAAATAAAGATAATAATGTAAATCAAGGAGTATCTTAAAATTCATATATTCATATATTAATTCATAAAAATTTGTTGTCAATATTTTTTTAATATATCATGTGAGTTAATGATGAGATATCAGGTTAAAAAAATGATAATCAAATCACCATATGGACTGATGAGATAATTGTCTATTAATTTTATTTAACTTAAATTATAAATTAAAATATTTAAGTTGAAATTGATAATAATATGCATATTAGACTTTTATAAGTCAATCTTAATCTTGTTCATTTTTTATGTAAAACTGATTAGAATGTTACGATCTCACATCATTTACTCTTACGCCTTTGTGATTTCAAGATTGACTTAGCTAATTCAATGCTTTATGATGACCTAGGATCGGATAAACCCATAGTCGATGAACTCCAAACTTTTCTGGTTCCATGGTTATAAAGACCAACATCACAGTTGATGATTCAAAGGAAACTCTCTCTCTCTCTCTCTCTCTCTCTCTCTCTCTCTATTCCACTCTGATCATTATTGACCAGAAGGCCTGCCTGCTATAAATTTTGGGCAGCCAAGCAACCTAAACTTTGCCATGACTTGAGTTTAATGCAGACAATGGGGCAAGCGAGATTGATTCTCAAGTGTTTTTTGTTTCTTCACCCCATTTTTGATCCTTGTTTTGGACATATTACTACTTTGTCATCAAGTCAGTCAAAAGCCATCCTTTTAGACCATGGTAAATTTTATCGCCAACGTGTAAGTTCAGCTTCTGACTGTTGCTGCTGAACTTAGTCTATAAAGACTAATGAAGTTCATATATTTCAGGATTGTGATGGAACATAATTCTTTATGTTTTACTTATGGTCAACGAAATATTCTTCCAATCATTTTTAATTTCGAAAATATTATCCATTATGATCACCCTTATCGATAATTAATGGCGTTCATATGCATATTTAGGACTTCAAATCTAGAAGATAAGTAACAATTACTGATGCTATTTGATTCTATGTGCTATAAAATAATAGTTATAATGATAATTATAATCACCATCGTTGTTGTCATCTTCCTCTTTCTTCTTTCCGAGATTCTCGAGTAGCTGCGGCGGAATACAAGCATCGAGAAATATAATAGCCATTGAAATAGACCCCACATTTACGCTTTCCGATGCATCTCACTCTTTGTGTCATTCATATCTCTATTCATGCACACCAACCATTTGACATCAGTTATCGGCTGGCTATTCATCTCGTGAACGATCCTGCAATGCAGGTTATTGGACATAGATTTGCAAAATATAGTGGAGACAAAGCTTGGATGCATAATAAACACAAATCTGTGTCAAGAATCCCACTGATTAATCTTGACATACATGTATGTCATAGCTGAACATAATGCTGAGGACATACTTTCGAAGATGTGTGGAATGTAAAATTTTGAATCCAAATAAAAGATAGTCATAATAGTCATTAGTCGACTCAGTTTTGTTGCACAAGTAGCAGACTGATTGTTCTCAATCATCAAAATACGGATTTAATGCACAAGTACATGAACAATTATTTTTATTCACCAAAAATAGAACTTGAAGGTGCCGGTTAACTTAGCTATTAAAGTCTTTGACAGCTTATTACAAGATCTTGGACTCGAATCCCACATTCGTCGCTTATCTTTACAACAACAAAAAAAACACACTTTATTTCAAGGTGCAGTTTTGACGCCTTCAAAAATTAAAGGGACTCCTTCAAATGATAAAAATACTAATTTTACATGAAACTTCAAATTATGCCATTAATTTAATCGAATCCTCTCAATGTATCAACCAACATATCCTTTGCTTCATTGATCTGGGAAGCAAGGTAATGGCTTCCTCCACTATCAGGATGGTTAGCTACCATCACTCTTCTATGAACTTGATCTTGTCAAATTGAGCATGCTCTCTGAAACAGGAACAACAGGGAGAGCTTCAAATGCCTGAATCAAATATCTAGCCGCAGCCACAGCCACCGATAGACTTGCAACTATCGGAGTTGCCTGAAATAGTGACATTAAATTTTGTTTATGATTAATGACAGCATCACAGAAATACCAATATACAAATAGTACTTTATGGCAACCATGAACCTAACTGTTAGATCCCTTCTATCAAACCACAGAGACTATGGATATACACTAGCTCACTAGTAATTTTGAAAGAATGAATCGGGAATAGGGCAAGCTTCTCCAGAAAAACTAGATACAATATTTTTCCTTTGAGTTCACTTATTCCAACATAGGCATAGCCTTTGCATGAAGGTTGTTATGTTTTGTTCTCAGTGATGACATGATTCATTGGCAAATGTAGGGGCGCTTTTCGGTAACTAGACATAGTTATTCTGTTAAATTTAATTTAGTTATCTCTGTAGAAGTCAATAGTTTAAGTTAGAAGGCAATGGTTAGAGTGAGAACAGAAAAATGTTCTCCATATGTTTTTGGTGCATCAAATGGTAACTCAATAGCTGAACACCAAGCTCTAGATAAAAGAATAAGGCACTCAGAATTGCTAAATTTACAAGACAGAACAAAATCAAATTCAACTCGCATTGTTAATTATCGAGGGAAATACTGAATCCCTCTGTTGAATGCTTCACCAGCATTAGGGAACAAAATTCTCAAGCAAATTTTTTGAGAAATTACTGACACTCAAGAGGCTGCATATCTAATGATTCTGCTTATGGAGTGAATGGTTCTTAGATCTTAGGATATTTTCTCACATCTTGATGGTGAATATAATGTGTTTTTGTGATACGGTAAATCCATCTATATCATCTCTAAATTATAAAAAAGGCAGCATTTCACAAAGAAACTTAGCAAATCCCCCTTAAGAAAACATTAAGAAGAATGGTTATTGTGGTAAAAAGATTTTTATGATGGACAATATTGTTTAGACACCTAACATCATTCGGATCGATCACACCACATAAATACTTAAACTACGAGGTGAAAAAAATTCCCAAAATCAGTCAACTCCTGTGTTTTCTTCTACGATCAGGCTATCAATAATCCAGAACCATAAAATACAATGTCTCATACAAATATATAGTAATTGCAGGCTGTAACTTCTTCATGTCCTGGGAAAAAAAAGGGAGGGGGGGTGTCGGGGTTTGCAAAATCGATCAAAGAAGAGATATAATATCATTTACCATTGAACTCCAGCTATTCCGAGATCCAAGCAATTCTGCAGCTGCATGCACCAGAAAAAGAAGGGTGAGAATTAGGTCATGTCAGGCCGAGTCAAAAGCTACAACCTTGAAAAGAAAGGAAGAAAAAGGATACGGGTCAATCAAATATAGGTCGAATTAATGGGAACCCAAGTCGAAGCGGCAAGGATTTAGGTTATCTGGGACTGGGATTGTCGAAGTCCAACATCCATCAAAGAAATTTGAGCGAGAGTGAAGATCGGAATAGGGTGGAAGATGAGCACCTACGACGATTTCGGAGGAAAGATTTCTGGTCTTCCGATTACAAATGTGAGCAGAGAGAGGGGGGGAGGAGATTAATGTTTATATAGATTAATTTACGAAACCTTTCACCAATCCATTGTCGTCTAGTCCGGTTAGGATACCTGGCTTTCACCCAGGCGACCCGGGTTCAAATCCCGGCAATGGAAGAATATATATTTTTCTACTTAACTAATAATAAAAGAAAAAATTATATATTAATCTTTATATTCATATATATCCATGAAAAATGTAAGGTTTATATATATGTCAGCATAAATTTTGATATATAATATTAGTATCTTGAATGTCACTGCCTTTAATGTTATTCGATTTAAATAAGTATATAGAAAAATAAAATGTTTTTTTAGTATCCATAAATAAATTTTAAATATAATTATGTTGATTTGAGTTTTTCTACTTAACTAATAATAAAAGAAAAAAATTATATATTAATCTTTATACTCATATATATCCATG